CCCTTACCCCTGGATTACCAGATTTGTAAAATTACTTTGTTCTGTAATAGAACAAGTTGCAGGCGATTGCAAAAACTTTAATAAAAAAGATTTACGATAAAGGAAAGTTAAAATCCTGAGCAATTGCTGCGGAATTTCTTTTGTCTGAAACCATGTCGACACGTCAAAAATGACTTGTCCGGAACAATTCACTCCGCCGGGTATAAGTTTTGCAGAGCAGCTGCTCTTCAGCCTGTGTCGAAACTTTCTCTACAATAGATGCCGCTAAATTTCCAATAAACAAAAAGAATCTTTTCATTTCAAAAAGCTGACAAATCGCTTCTCCATGGCGGCTTCAGCTAGTGTCGAGTACTGATGTTCTGATTCATGTTGATGTTATCTCCAACAAACAGTCCATTTTTTCCAGTCAGATCCGCACGCCGTCATTCTCAATAAATTGGCCTTCCCTAGTCTCCACTGCTCGATCTTCAATTATACTTTGAAGACTCTGATCTCATAAACCTTCGCACAAACACGATTCCAATAAATATCAGTCCAAAGCATTTGTAATCTGCGATCACAATCAGATGCGGCCAGATCTTTGACGCACGAAAACAAAGCATACCTGGTTTGATTGATGTTTCGAATGCTAAGTAATCAACACTACCCGCACCGCGCCAATCAGAAGCTGCGTTCGTGGGCGAACGCAGTTTTTCCAAAATCGTGGTGTTTGCGGGCAAGCGGTTCCTTCTTTCCCTCCTCCTCCCCCTCCCCCGTCATTCATTTTTTTTTTGGCTCTTGTCCCAGCTTTCTAGACGAACCTCGCGAGGGAACGCTTGCTACGCAGGCTAATTTATTCCAAATTGCATTCGAAATCATGTGATTACCTATACATATCGCACTCCGTGGTTAGGAAAACAAATAAATTCCCATTTTTTTTTCGTCGTTGGTTTTGAATTTAATCCCTAGGCATACCCTGTGCCGCCATTTCCCAGAATCGGGAACCCACTTCCTGTCTAATGGACCATTCAAGCCGGGGAGAAAGATACCAGCCATTCAAAAAAAATTGTTTGAAATGTTTGTTCATGTTGGGTGTCAGTAAAACGCGGGGTAGGGGCCGGGGCCGGGGCCAGGGCCGAGGTCTACCGTTTTTATGTTCAGTACTGTAGTTGGTTGGTCCTAGACAAGCCTTTTTGTCTACGTGTAGGGCTTTAATTAAAGATATTTCTTTCAAGTTCAGTTACAATTAGAACCATTTAACGTTGAGTATAGGGTCTATTGATAGAAGGATATATGTCTCATTGTTTTCCAGGGCATTTTTTAACACGTTATAGCTCTTGTCGTTGACCAATGAAATACTCGTCACAAAAGTCTTCCCACGCTCCAGAGCATGCTCGTCTTCCCAGCCACCACAAGCATGTTCATCAAATCAGTGCAAGGATCTGCACTCTGATTAGCTGCTTTAAAGGGCAACTCTCGCGTAGGACAACATTTTCCAGAAAAACCTTGCAAATGTTTTTATCATTGTAATACCATCAAGAAATATATCTTCAGCGATCTATTTGGCTCAGAAATCGAGATTCAAAGTGTTAAATTTGCCGCTTACTCGAACTTTAAACGCTTCGATTTTGCCTATCACGTGACGTCACAGTTGTGGAACAACAGATGATCTCGAATATGGCTGACTGTAGTTCTTCAAGTGATAGCGCTACCTCTTTGTCCGATTATTCGGCTCTAGAAAAACTTTTAGAATGCGAAGTATAGGGCAGCCCTTCACGGAAATTCAACCCCGGCGTTTTGAGCCGCCTGGAAGATCGTCCGAAGCTGATGAAGTTCGTGCGTTGCGAGAAAACATCGAGCCTACCACTCGCCCGCTGCGATCCCGATAGTGAAGAATGGTGAGTGCCTAGATGGTTTTGAACAATTCTTGTGTACAGTGCGATCCGTAAATCGCTCGATTTCATCAATGCTATGAATGCTTCAAATTGTAAAAGGAAAAGGACTAATTAAACACGCATTTTTTTTTTGTATACTGAGCGTTTATAATTTTAGATCATTGTTTTCATATGTACAAGTAGTCGAAAGCATATCTTCCCCTTCTAACGACTACTGGAAATGATAATCTGGTCAAGTTGTCTCAGTGTAGTTTTTTTTTTAATTTCTGCTTTAATCCTGGTTTTACAAAAAGTAGTGATTTATATCGGAAGCAATAACTACGCTCTCGTAATTCGTTGACTGCAACGCAAATAAATTTCCATATCTTTGCCCCTTGACAGCCGCTCATGCTCGACTCGTGGAGTGCTTGCACTTTAAAATTTGTCTCTTTTGTTGTTATACAGATGGTTATACATAATAACTGAAAGGCGCTGTACAGTTGTTTTCCTACAAGTCGTTCACTTACTTTTCTCTGACTGTGTCTTGCTCTGTCAATGAATTTGGTTCAGAAGTTATTATTCTAGCTTCTGTGTATCCTGATTTTATTATTAAGACAATTTAAAGTTGGGATGAGATATACCTCCAT